TGTATTGATTAGCCACTCATCTTTTTGAACATTGTGGCTAGACTGTATTCACCAGCTAATCGCTAACTTTTTCCATCAGCTGTTTGGTGCTGGGCAGATACCGTAGAGTGCTTTAGTCTTTTTCACTTTAAACTAGTGCCTGCTGCTACTACTAAACTACTAAACTAACATCTTGATGATAGTGTTGAGAGTAAAGCCGCAGTCCGTAAAACCAAAACAACGAGCTGAAAGGAGCTAAAATGCTCAGTTAAGCTGAGAAAAACTGCAAACTAATATGATAATCCTCTGTGGGTTTATCACGTTGACATACCCCCTTCACACGTATTAATTTGATCTATTGTTGATATAAAGATATTTTTCAAGAGCAGCTTTTAAAAATATGGTGTCTAGAGTGTGGGACTTAAAGGGTTAAAATCCAGTGCCCACTGTCTTGACTTGTTTTTGTGGACGGCCTCATTGATGTAACCTTGTCAAAGAGGATTAGGTGATACTGATTAAAACCATGTTGTTGCTGTGGTCAGAACCAGTCACACGTGTGTCACCTGAAACTGCAGTATAAATGCAGCAGTGGTAATTGAAGTAAGTCAAGGTTAGAACGTGTGTGTGTGTTGTGTGTGTGCATATTTGTTATGGAGGCATCTGGGTATTAATTTTACTTTACTTTACCTGCTGTACTGATTAACAAGCACCAATAACATTCTGCCACCCCAAACTGTTTGTTATGTTATCCTAAAAAGAAATAATAGTGTCTGTGTGTGTGTGTGTGCACCTCACATATGTGCAGGGGCTGAAATATGGCTGAAAGATATCTGGTGTAATGAGGCCAAGGTGATTTATTAGTGCAGAATGCTCCGTTCCCCCAGCACGTACATGCACACACATACACTTAAGAAAGGAACTGTGACAGCTGCTTCACTTTCTTTTAATTGCATGCCAGTTAAAAGCAAGTGAAACTATGCTTTGCCATGACCAAAACCTGGCAAAGGCAAATTGGTTCAGGCTTCAGAATTTATGTTTGGTGGTGAGACTACTGTATGTAGAGGCTGTTTACCAAAACCTTACCCTGACATGTTAAAAGATGCAGCTTTAAATGAAGAAAGAATATAATTTGTTTTGGTGCAAAGGTTTGCTGTGAGACTAGTCTAGACAAACGCCTTCAAGGATGGGAGGGAAACGGGCAAATAAAAGACAAGGAGGAAGATAGAACAATCGAGCGAGTGCGTGAGAGACAGATGCAGGTAGTCTGTTAGCATATTAGCGTCTCAGCGGCGGACAGGCAGACAGGTGAAGACGGAACAGAGTCAACTTGAGTGAGTCTTGCAGTCATACTCTAGCCAGAGGGAGCTCTGCTTTGGATCAAACAGGCTCACCATTAACCTGTACTGACACTGTTTAGACAGTGGGGAAAACAGCAGAGTAAAGAGGCAGGGGAGAAGCCAGGACATTAGCATCTCAGGCAGTGATCGGTGAGGACTTCAGGCTCAAGCAGGGTTGAATTGTTCAGACAACAACAACACAACAACAGATAATTGGGCTATTGAGGAATACAGAGGGACAGGACTATGTCAAGGTGCTGATCTTGTGAGGTTCATTACTACAATAATCATTTTGATTTCACTGTCACCCATTAGGGGCCAAATAATGTGTCTCCAAGGAACAAAGTTATCTAGTAATTTTCTAAACTTATTAATGATCATAGACATCAGACAGTGGTCAAAATCAGACCATGACGTTATTCTGGAGAAACATTTGCAAAGGACATAAACCATCAAAACAACTTATTTGATCCATATAATCGTATATCATAATGCTGTGTTTACTTTCTGTTTCATTTCCCTCCAGCTTTGCTGAAAGTAGAGTTCAAGGCAAGTAATTCCTGTATTCAGTCTGCTGATTTAACTGTTGCTCATTCATTCATTAACTAAATATTCTTTAGTTTGATCACGGTTTAATTGAGCTTTTGAGAACGTCAAAGGTTTTTCAATTGACAGAGATGAAACAATTTCAAATGGCTACTTGTTGCAAATGTCACTTGAAAGCTTATTGAAAAGTTTTGCAGCGGATCATTACTCCCAATATAGCTGAATGTCAGAAAGTGTTTAACTCATTTAAACCTGCAGATCTCTGGCCAAGCTGTAAACACTGACATATTATCAGCCTGTAAGTTGATAGGGTGAACTTGCAAAAAGTTGCTTATTTACACATCGTCCAGACACAGAGAAAAAATGGCATTCATTTGAAGTTGTGGTTCTGGCCACCTGATGAATGTAAATCCAATATTCACCCTCTTTTTACCTCTGTTTTGCTCTCCACTCTCCTTAGAAAAAAGTATCTCGTTTTATCTTCTTCTCATCTTCAGCTGATGAATGCTCCCCTGTTCAACAGCTTGTCGCCAACTTTATCTGTCTACTGTCTGGTGCTGAGCAGGTAGCATACCGAGAGTTTTTAGAGCCTTGTTGCTGAAACCATGACCCAGCTTGTGAGCCATGACAAAAAATGGGAGGTACATGATTTTAAACTGAAAGCTGAACAAGTTTCTCACTGAAAATACAATAACTCAAAAGCATACTGAAATTATTAGGTGTTAAGCCTTGGTATCAGTGTGTCAGCAGATGAATGGGTGGTTGAGTGATGAATGGAGGGTGTAGTGCAGTGTAGAAACTGAAACTACTAATCCAGACTGACACAGTCAGATGTTAAGCACCAAGGGTAGACTGGCCAGGTGCTCCTGCTCACCTGAGACCTCTGAGACCTGCATGGCAACACACACAGACTGTTGTTAATATGAAAGATATTCATTAAAGCTGCCTTAAAGGTAATCATTTCAAACCAATGCAGAGATTTCACTTAAAGAGGGGGGTTAGATAAGCATTGTATAGTCACACACACAGACACACACACACACACAGACAGCAAGAGTTTACATGCTAGAGTTTAGTCACACAGAGGGAATGTGCCTTGAAAATCAAAAGACATTAACCAATTAGCACTGATCAATAGTCACAGCCACACAGGGACGAGACAGTCTAGGAGCACTGTTAATGCATGCCTACAAGCCAATTGGCAGGCTGGAACTATTATTGCTCTCAGCTCTCAGCCAATGAAAATGCCAGAAGAACTCTTGACATTCTGCTGCTCTCCAATGCAAAGTACCTTTCCCGCTGTAGCTAGGCAGATCAGGCTGCACGAGGAAATAAAAGGGAGAGATGGAGAGATAGAATGAGACAAGGAGAGGAAAGAAGGGAGGTGGGAGGGACAGAGGAAGAGTGGGAGAGTATATGTGTTAGGCTGTGAAAGCAGGTGCCATAGTGGGCCTCAGTGGGCAGCAGGTAATCTCACTGAGATAAGCAGTAGCATGACAGCCAACCTTTAATTCCTCATGGGAGGTGGTACTGTGGAGTTGCCGCAGGGCTGGTCTCCCTATCCCCTGGAAATACATTCATATAAAGGAGTAATGTCAGAAGATGGATAGAGGATGCATTTTGATGGTGGGAAGATTGAGGTGAGAGAAGAAGAAAGGGTGAAAGCAACAAAGGCAGAGTGAGTTTCGCTTCTGTTTTGCACATTCTGCACACATATATGACCGTGTTCACATATACACAGATCACAGCAGCACCTCAGCGCCTCAACTGCTCTGTATTCATGATGAGGAGAGCAAAATATCAGCATGGGGCTCGGGATGTATGGGGGATTGAGGAGGAAGGAAGGGAATGAAGGAGAAAAGAGGGAGTAAAAAAAAGAGGAGGAGATATCTAAAATATTACACCTATCAGGGGGAGTGTTCAGTGGAGCAGGCATTATGAGAGTGTAAATTACATTCCCTCCCTCTCCCCTCGGGCTGCCGGCTGCTGGATGAATATAATCACCCAGACACACACTGCACCATCTATAGACACTAGCAGAATATTAGATAGAGCGCCATGATGTGTGTATGTTTATTGTCACAGAAGACTCCAATCATGTATCGATCTGGCATCGGCTCTCTGTCCTGTTCTTTTCTGACATCATGTAAAAATATTGACACAGGGAATTTGTCTCAATTGGGAGGAGATCAATAGTGATTCACTGGGCCTCGTAAAACCTCTGGAATCAAGTGGGACAGCTTCTATGGTGGTAGGGTGGAGGAGAGCGTAGGTCTTTGCAAACTGATATTCTCAAAACAGTTCCTTTTTCCTTTTAATTTCCTGTCTTTATTTTCACTTAACAGCTATATTTGACTCTTTGGAACTTGAGCCTCTTTTCTAACATAATTTGTCTCAAGAGAAGAAAAAAGACCTTTTGAACAAAACAGTGATTTGTTCGATAAATCGACAGGAAAATCATTCATAATCCACGATAATCGTTTAAGAAAGTTGTGAAGAAAAATGTCAAATGTTCCCTAGTTCCAGATTCTTAAATGTAAGGATTTGTGGCTTTTCTTTCATACGTGATAGTAAACTGAATGTCTTTGGTTTCTGGACTGGTGGTCGGACAAAACCATCGATTTAAAGATTGTCACATTGAGCTTTTAGAAAATGACACCAGATGATTAATAGATGAAGCAAAACATAATTGGCAGATTAATGGATAATCGAAAAGTATCCATATTATCATAGGAACAGTGCTTCATTCTCTCTTTTTATTTCGCTCTGTGTATTACAATCTGTTAGCAGAGGCAGATAGACAGCTAATCCTCTTTATCTCTGCTCTTGAAGCTAATTTGTCTTTCAATGGGACCTTGAAAAAATAGGGGAAGGTAGCGAGTGCACAGCTCAGGTTACAAAGGGGGGAAAAGAAAGCAGAACTGATCGGTCTTCTTTATGACAAAAACCCAGTGGCAGGCCCAGATGTCAGGGATGTTAGGTCAGCGCCTGCTAAATGGGAGGGCAGCAACTTGAGTCAAGGCTCATTACTTCTTTACATTAGGCAGCAGTTAAGGGAAACACTATTCTAATCCGCCTCTTTCCATGTCTCTATCCTCCTTATCCCTCCCACTTCTCCTTCCTCTCTCACTCCCTCAGGGCCGCTGTTCCAGGGAGAACTGTAAGTACCTGCATCCTCCTCCCCACCTAAAGACCCAGCT